CTTGTGAGGCAGCTGCTGGGGACAGCTGAGATCACCTGTTTTTGCAGCCACACACCCAACAGCAGTGCCTCTTGAACACAGACCACAAAACCCTCTCCATTCATCTTTAAGGTGACAGATGACGGATGCCCTCACATTACAACAGCCCCACCAACACTTGCGGACCAGTGTATTTAGAAACTCCCACCTAAAGAGGGAATAGTCAGGAGTAAAATGAGAATATTGAGGGATAGGGGAGGAAGGCAGGTACTTGATCCCACAGACTCTACTGAAAACAAGGGAATAGAATGTTGTGCTGTGGTCTACCTATACTTCATCTCACCACATCCATAGATGCTGCATGGTTCTTGTTCCCCTATTTACAAAGGTGCTGATGAGCCCAAGTGTAATTGATCCTGAAGGAGAAAATTCTTTACAAAGTACAATTACAGTGTCTAATATCCATTACCAGGGTTTTTAGGGTTTTTTTTTTTTTTTTAATAGTAACCCACATTCAGGAATCACAAATGAAGCCTGTTGTAATGTATGATATGAGCAAGGTCTTATTTTCATGTAAAAAACCATGGTTTTTACAGATTAAACATAAAAGCATAAAAGCTGGTGCCATTCCAGAATCAAAACTGTCCCTGAGGACATATGGAAATAAGGGACATCAATGATTAGGAAGCTACACAAAACTAGAAGTGCTCCCAGAAGTTTCCATTGTCTAGACAGAAAAATTAAACAGATCAGCCTGAGAGAGTAAAGGTACCGCCGTGAATGCCCGGGATGATGAACATTCCATTCAAAGCAAAGTTGTGAAGCCTGAGGAGTTTCAAAGATGCCCCAAGTGCTCCACACCTTGGGCTTCCACAAAGCTGGAGCACCACGTGTTCCTGAGGATCAGGTTGCCAACTGCGTCTTTGAGACACTGCCCAGTCAGGCCTCAGTTGAGATGAGGCCACTGATGTCACGTGTAAAATGCCTAAACCATTTTCATCTTTAGGTAGCTATTTGGTGAACTTTCCACCAAATGGGTTGGCAGAAAATGGCGCACCAAAGACACGCCTGGGAAGTGAGATTTTCTCCTCTGCTCTTAGCATCTCTTGGGTAAACCAATAATGACACTCCCTGCCGCCTCAACATCCATATCTGCGAAAAAGGCGCTGGTGAGGGTGACATTTTCACGAAGCCACAGTTCATGTCACCCCCTGCAAAGCTCTGAACTTGTGCACAGGCTGGCCAGGCGGCGGATTTCTCGCCATAGCGGCTGCACTGCGCTCTGGCTAGAGAGAAAAGAGGGCAGCAGCACAATGGACAGCGCCTGGACCTCAGGCCAGTTCCCACAGCAGCTTAGGAAAGCAGGCGGCTCCCTGGGCTGGAGGAGGCGCGATGCCCAGGAAAGACCCCTGGTGCAGGTGGGAGAGCGAACCCAGCCAAGCGGCGGGAAGTGGGGTGAGGACCACACCCGTCCGAGTTGGACAAGGGCAGGTGCACTTCGAGGCATCACGCCCTCTTCACTGCCCAGCCTGGACCTCCCCATCGTGTCCCTCTCCGGACTCACTTCCCATGGCAAAGAGGTGCCCGTGATCAGTAGCCAGCATCGGTGTGGAAGCGGCGAGGTCCACACTGCCTTGCCCAACCCTCCTGGATTGCCCGCCTCCTCGCATGTCGCCTGCTGAGATTCTAGTCCAGCCGCCTTGCCACCAACGGGCAGGGAACCGTTAAGAGATACCGTTTCCAGCCTGCCTGGCCAGGAACGCGGTGCCCCGCTCCTCCCACGAGAACTGCGCCCCGCCCCCGAGCCCGGGGAAGACTGGGATTGTAGTCCCGAAGCGCTTGAAACAACGGGCAGGAGCGGTGAAGAGACTACAGCTCCCAGAATGCACAGCGAGGCCGGCACAGTCCGGCTTCCCCCTTCAGTACTGCGTGCCACTCCCTGTTCATGCTGGCTGGGATTGTAATCCGGTCGCCCTGCAATTAAAAAACTGGAAGCTAATCAAAGATGACAACTCCCAGTATGCCAGGCGTAGCTCCCGCCCTCGAATCCACACCTCCCCGAGTCCAGAGCAGTTCTGCCATGCTAAGGGGAGCCTGGCTGTTTCCATACCTCTCCTGCCTGCCAGAAGACAGCGGGACCAGGGCGGCTGGTCTTACCGTGTAATTATGTCACTACCTCTCCCTAAGATGCTGGTTTCATGCTTCGTCATTGCCAGAAGTTTGATTTCTCACGGAGCAGCAGGGGACCAGGAGCGGCTCACAAACCTGTCAGGGTTGCCATAGTAAGGCTCCTCTTCCAGGAGCGGTACTCGCTCCGCCCCTTCCCTCGCCCCTGCCCCTTCTCCCACCCTTGCCCCTTCTCCTTGCCCCGCTCCTTCCCTTGGGGGCAGCCTCTCCCCTTTGGCATCGCCCCTCCTCCTTGCCCCACCCCTGACACGCCCCTTCGGACATGCGCAGTGTAGTCCCTGCGTAGGACTGCGACTAATGGCCAAGTGTCTGACAGTTCTCCGACTTCTTGGCATCCCACGCGGGAAGTTCCCTGGTGAGTGTCCGAAACTGTCAGTTGACTGCCAGAAATGGATATACGCGGTCCCTGATAACCTGGCACTTGCCTTTTCAAAGCCACCATTTCCTCCATCCTCTAGGCTGTCACAAATCCTCCTCTGCACTCCCAGGAGTGCCCCTTGGACCCGGGGCTGGCTGCAAGGCCCACACCTGGGTCAGGCCTCTCACAGGGACGCTCCTGCCACTCTAGTAAGGAGTAGAAAACGTCACAGTGAAAAAGGCCTGACCCTGCTGCATCCAGTCAGGAAACAGCCACAAGGAAGGGAGCCCCTAAGACACTTCGGGAGCCACATCCACTACTTCTCTGCCCCCGACCCAGGCTGGTCCCAGACCTTGGGGTCCTGGTGTGCACCTCCCGGTGGTAATTAACGCAGGTGCAGAACCAGAGAGCCCCTTGGTCCCTTCCAACACATGAGGGAAGTTTGTGTGGTGAAGTCATGAACAGTGTCTGCGTTGCTGCTGTGAATAGGGCTTTCTTGGAAACAATTTTAATTTCCCTTTTTAAATATCCCTTTGGAGCCACATTTAATAAGTTGCTGGTGGAACTTAACAATGATAATTCTTTGAATCCATTTTTCTTTTTCTTTTTTTGAGACGGAGTCTCACTCTGTAGCCCAGGTTGGAGTACAGTGACCGAATCTGGGCTCACTGCAACCTCCGCCTCCCGGGGTTCAAGCAAATGTTCTGTCTCAGCCTCCCCAGGTACCCACCACCACGCCTGACTAATTTTTGTATTTTGGGTACAGATGGGGTTTCACCATATTGGCCAGTCTGGTCTCAAACTCCTGAGCTCAAGTGATCCACCCGTCTCAGCCTCTCAAAGTGCTGGGATTACAGGCGTGAGCCACCGCACCCAGCCTGAATCCATTTTAACATTTAATTTTCCAGATTAACTCGAAGTACCCCACGACTACATGCTAATGAAACTAGAGGAGGCACAGCCTCAGCTCTGTGCAGGACGGATGCAGAAGAGCAGAATCTCCATGGGACGTCTTTCTGGAGTATCAATATTACTGCAGGATTTGGGAAAGAAACAAATTTAAATAATTTCCAACATAAGACACTGGAAATTTAAGAGAAGGCTGGAAAGTCATTGGCCTTTAATAACTGTCAGTCATCTGTGCCTAACTGGGACTTTCTCCAAGAAAAAAAAAAAAAAAAACTCTAAGGAGAACCTATTTTTCATTCTTCTAAGTAGTTAAAATTAGAAATCACAGCAAGTCAATAGAAAACTCTGCCCTGCCAGTCTCCTAAATCACAATATGGCCTTGGTATGGATTTATTTGTATTTTTTGGAGAGGTTTGTTGACATGTTGGGTATAAAAATTGGGGGGTTTTGACCAATTTTTGGAAGTTGTCAGCTATTAGTTTGCTTTGTACCTCATTTAATTTTTCTGCCTCCTCTCCAACTTGGACTCAATCACTCCACAGGTCTCTAAGACTCTTCGTTTTCTTTAAGCTTTTTCACTCTTTTATCCAGAATGGACAATTTCTATTGCTCTGTCTTCTGCTTCTAACCTTTGAATAAGCTCAAAAGTATTTTTTAAATTTCCTTATCTTCCTATTGTTTCATAATTTCCATATCTTTGCTGAGGTTCCACTTCTCTTTATTCATTATTAGAATATTTTCCTTTACCCCCATGAACAGATTTATAATAGCTGCCTTCAAACATCCTGAATTAGAACACCTTGAATATCTTAGGATCACTTTTACTGCCTGCTTTTTTAATTGCGTATGGGTTACATTTTTGTGTTTCTTCACATGTCTCATGAATTTTAAAGTTGGGTACTAAAACTGTAAAGAATCATTAGAGAGACTCTTAATTCTGTTGTGTACCTTTGAAGGGTGGTGTTATTGTTTGCAAACGATGTTAATTGTGCTGGATTCAAATGTCAATACCTATCTCCCCTATAGTGGGCACAGCTGAAATTCTCATTCAGTTCTTACTCACACATGAGTCATATTTGTATTATGTAGATGTGTTTCTATAACAATATATATTATTTGAATGTCATCATTATAATCTGTGTTAATTCAACAAGCTACTCCAGTATTACTGAAAGCCAGGACCCCAGTTTTGTCAGCTTCTTGGATTTTGTATAAATTAAATTGTATAGTATGTATACTTTTACATTTACTTACTTTTATGGAACAGTATAATTGTGATATTCATTCATGCTATTGCAGATATATATGGTCTGTCCTTTTTTTTTTTTTTTTTTTTTTTTTTTCCCGAGATGGAGTCTCTCTCTGTTGCTCAGGCTGGTGTGTAGTGGTGCAATCTTTGTTCACTGCAACCTCCACCTCTGGGTTCAAGCAATTCTCCTGCCTCAGCCTCCTCAGTAGCTGGGATTTATAGGCACGCACCACTACGCTTGGCTATTTTTTGTATTTTTAGCAGAGACGAGGCGTCACCATGTTGGCCAGGCTGGTCTTGAACTCCTGACCTCAGGTGATCCACCCACCTCCTCCTCCCAAAGTGCTGGGATTACAGGCGTGAGCCACTGTGCCCAACCAACAATTTGTTTTTTCATTTTAACAATTTTTAAGTGTGTAGGTCAAAGGAATTAAGCACATTCACGCTGTTTTACGAGCATCCTCCACATTTATAGGAAGTGTTTTTCATTCTGCAAAACTACAGCTCTGTACCCATTAAACACCTCACCTACCTTCCTGCAGCTGGGAACCACTCTTCTGCTTTGCGTTTCTATAAACGTAACTACTCTAAGTACCTCATATGAGTGGAATCATGCAGTATGGTGAAGAAATCATAAGAACGTATAATACACACTATATAACATATGTTTATTTATTTGAACAAAAACACTAACAGAGATCAGTAGTATATGGTGATTATAGAGAAAGAGATAAAAAGAGAAAAGGATTAGACAGACACATTAAATTTATGACAATGATGCTCAAGTACCACAGCAGTGAGTCCCCTGCCCTAGTCACAGGGCTGATCACAGTGGAGCTGCGAGCCCTGACTCCCAGAGCACATGCTCAGTCCAAACTTCGCCGAGCGCTGAGGCACTCTGTTCCGCCACCCGGGCACTCAGTGGGCCTGAGATTCTTCATGGCCTGGTCTTCTTGGCCTTGAGGGCGTGGCTGGCCTACTGGGATAGGCCTCAGTGGCAGGACAGGTTGTAGCTGTAGGGCAAAGCAGCAGCTGTGAGGCTCCAGGAGCCACACCTCAGGCCTCCCTCCCAGTGCCTGCCCAGGGCTCCCATACAACAGGG